TTTTTTTTTGGCGAAAGTCGAAACTAGTTTCGACTTTCGTCTGTGGCGAAACTCTTAGGTTTCGCCTGCCAACACTAGTCTGCGCCCAAACTAATATCTCAAAAACTTTATTAATAATCTTTATTTATATATATTCTTATAACTATATATAGTATATTTATAAAATCAACTATTTTGTTGATTTAATTTTTTGTAAAAGCAATTTTTTTTGGGGGGTTTTGCCAGTAAGTATAATCGTGCTACGTTACATCAATTAGCGATTAACTATTGGTTATTTTCCCGTCGATCATCACGTGCCCGAGATTGAGTCGGCAAAATATAGTAATATAACTTTTAAGTGTATTTGATGCTAAACCTTCTTTTTAGCATAATAATATATATTAGAATACATTAGTATCACGTGTGTACGTATGTCTGTGTTTATCAGTTTGCTTAGCATAAACATAATATTTATCATAAAGACTTTGCAACTTTTAATTATATTAAGGCTTTGTAAATGGCTCAGTGCAAAAAAAATAACATTATGGCTATGCACCACTGTGTAAATACATAAAACAAATTTCGATAAAAACAATGGTCTCAGAATTTTGACTACATTCCAAATTCTGACGATGAGTAAGATACTACGTCGATCAGGAACAAAATTATCGAAAGAAGACACTTATTCTGAACAGGTCACTATTGATGTCGGTGATGATAATGTCCCCGTTTCCCATAATAAAAAAATAATTACAAGTATTTTCTGCTCACCAAATGGATCATATGTTGTAACTTGGAGTGAAGATGACAAATCAGTGTTTGGATATCCTGTCATTAAAGGACAAGATGAACTTAAATTTGATTACTTGATTTCTAGCAGTGAGATTAAGCATCTACCTAATTGCAAGTTATATGGGGTTTCGGATAACAAACATGTCATACTAATGACAGAGAGACAGGTTCCTTATAATTTTGGTCGGTTTCTTAAACATTTAATTGATATACGTTTGTGTTTTAACATTTAAACTAATCTAAATATTTTTTAAGAACTAATAAATATCGTGACAAAAGAGCCTTGTCCTCTAAACGCTCAAGGTTTAGAAGGCGAGATCCATGAAATTGGTTTCCTCGAAAACGATAATTTGGTGATAATTAAAGGTGATCCTGTGAATAGAGCATATATCTTTTCAAAACAAGACTTTTCGAAATCAAAATGGTTGTGCATGGATATGATAGAACTTCCAAAGTTCAATAGATGTTTCATCCATCCAAAAGGAAAATTATTATTACTTCTTGATTTACCATTCTTAATTTCACAATGGGATTTAAAAACTCTGGAACTTGAAAATCAATATTTGTTGAATGGTCATTTATATGGTCATCGTTCGGATATAAGCACTTGGTTAAATTATGACATGACAATGTTGGTAGTATATGGCAGATATCTAAATTGGGATATGTTTTATATATATTCTGTAGAAACCGGTGTTATTATGACAAAATGTAAGCTATTTATCTTATTTCACGGGTAACATATCTTCTTCATTATGATCAAACGTATCATTCATAAATCCATATATATATATAATGCACTTTTATTTATGTTTAATCATCTAGGTAAGATCGAAATTGTTCCTCCTGCAATCATAGATAAGCTGGAATTTTTTGGACCTCATAAAAGTGAACGATTTCTTATTAAAGGGCATTACGCTAAATCTCTCAAAGTAACTTATAAAATGGCAAATCCATATACTCTTAAAGTTTATTCTGCGATAAATCTTTTAAAACATGATGGAAATGAAATCGAAGTATTTACAGTTCACCCTGATCATATAATAAGAGTATGGAACAATCGTTTATTTGTTCAAGAATTAATGGAATCAGAATGGCCTGAATATTTAAAATCAGTAATTGATGATAACGACCAGATTACAACTTTATTTTGTGGTGAATCTGTTAAGAAAACATTGGAGGATACTTTAAAAATTTATAAATCAGATCATGATCCTGGTTCCACGTCCAAAAAAAAAACTTTCACAGGTCATTCGTTCATTTGGAATGTGATCTTCCATGATAGGTTTGAAACAAGAAAAAATTTTGTATTAAAAGCTCAAAAATTTGATCATGAAGAGAATAGTTGGGATCCTGTTGAGAAAAGTGTAGAATTTCCTTCAAGTCATTTTTTGGGTGATTCCACTTATTTCATGGAATGTAACCTTCTTGAAAGTGAAGATTTATTGATGATCACTCCTATTGGTGTATTTATCTGGACAATTAAATCTGACGGCGAAATTGGTTTACTTTATTATTGGGGACTTTACGATGGTACCAGATCTAAAACCCCACAAGAAGGAATAATAAATAATCTCGAATCGATCCTTAAAGATGATCAATTGAAATTTTCAAATAAAAAATTATTACCTTCTCCACATTTTAATAGGATTGTTAAAATGCGCAAAAGAAGCACTTGGTTTACTGAACATGATAAAGGATGGGGAACTATGAATGCTCCTAATTTTCAAGATTTACTTGACTATTACATGAATGACGTATTACTTTTGGAGTTATACGGTGATGATCTTATGCGTGCATTATTGCAAGAGTGTGATGATGAGTTTGTTGAAACATTTTTTAAAAGATGTCTTATATTAAGTGAATTTCAAATAGAAGATGGAAATATTTCGTCTTCTATTAAATTAGTAAATATTATATTTTCTTCATTTCCACAATTATCGGAAAAATCTTTTACTTTTGTTATTCGTTCGTTAGCACATTTAGCATTTATCCCCTCTCATAATTTTAAAGATTCTTTAGTAGATAATTCTAATGCTTCCAATCTTCAACATTGTGGGGAATATTTTTATTTAAAAAAAACTTCATTAATAAATCGTATGTTTTATTGGATTTCTTTTAATTATCCTACGCTATATGAAACTTTAATATTTCCCTTGTCATTTCAGCAATCTAAATCCCAATCAACCATCAAATTAATGTTTCCTTTGTTAAATTTTTCCACTTTTCCTAAAAATTATTCAACTATAAAAGAATTAATTTTTCCTCGTAACAATTCTTTCACCTATTCGTTTTCTTCCGAGATTTATGAATGGTGGGGTCTTGATGCTCTTGTTCAATTTAAATGGTACACTTATGGAAGACACTATTACATTGTTATATGGGCAATATATACTGCCTTTATGAGTTGTTTTATTATCGCTGCAACAATGTCACAAATTTCTTGGAGTAACAAAGTTATTCTCTTGGAATTAACCATTTTCCTAGGAATTTTTCATTTAATATTTGAGATACGTCGATTCATTCATAATCCAAGATTATTTATATTTAGCTATTGGCATTGGTTTAGTACGTATATTATTCCTTTATATAATTTTATATGATTCAATTACTCTTTTTCACTATAACTCTTAATATTGTAATTAGATGTCGTTGTGATATTGTTTCCAATTTTCACCTCTGTTATGTGGCTTCAAACTGAACGTTTACCACTTTGGGAAACTGTTGTTTCAACTTTATTACTTGAATTGAAATTTTTACTTTACTTTCGTGCAATTAAATACTTTGGAACTTATTTTGCAATAATGATCAGAGTTGCGCAAAAAGTTTTTTCTTTTTTGGTAGTTTTGGCTGTCATTATTTTTGCATTCGCACATGCTTTACATCTTTTATTAAGACCTATTCCATCGGATCAACAAAATTATATCAGTGGCATGAATAATTCTTGGAATCTCGTTTCAAAACGTCAATATACTTTACCTAATAGTGCTACTACAAATACCACGGATGAATTGGATGAAAATTTGTACATGTTTTCAAAGTTATATTCTTCTTTTTTAGCAGCATATTTTATGATGACAGGTAATAATAAAATTTTCATACCTTATAGTTTATACCATTATAACTATTATTTATTATTTTTAT